TTCACTTTGAGCACAACTATGGTTTATCGGTTAAGCTTGAAAACTTATTTGCACCCTAAGTTAACTGCTTAAATGTTCATGAAACTACCGTTGTTTGAAATGAAAACTTCGTAAAAACGCACCGGTGGAATAGTCATTTATAGATTATACCAGCGCTCCGAAAAACGTTTTAGAACATTTTCCAGCTTTTGATGTATAGCATCAATGCGTCTGTAGCAATTTTTACAAAGGCGTTTAATAAGATGGTTTAACTCAGGCCAGCAGGTCATAATATGATCCTTGCTCTGGCTTAAAAACAAAAGCTCGAGGAGAGTTGTTCGAAAGTAGTTTTCGCAAGTTTAATTCCCGCGAAACTCACGCAAATTTGACGAACTAGTTGCTTGCGAATCGCGTGACGAATTTAGCACATATACTATAGAAAATTGAAGCACTGGGGTCGAGGATGGGTTGGAATTCTTGTCGCGACCTCTAGCAGAAATGGCCAATGTTTGTCTGAATCTCCTGTACTGTCGCAATTTGTAATAATCATAACTAAACTTTTTTTTTCATCAACGTTGATTGGTTATCTGACTTACGAAATTCTGTATTCTTAAACCTTGCAATTGTACTACATGGTTACCCGGGGGAGGCGGGGCGTACTCCCTTATATGGCCAATACGGGGATGTGCCTCAAGACACAGCATAGCCTCCCCGCAGACGTCCTTTGGGGTTCGTTCGTCACACATGGGGGTGAACCCTAAAGGAAGTCTGTGGGGAGGCTAGACACAGCATTGTACGAGTACAAAATCTAGACTCAGTAGACACAAACGAGCTATCATTAAAAGGCATTTAATTTCCACAAATCGTAACATCCATCCTGACATCATTCAAGTAAGGACACTAGGAAAGTTCAAGCTTTCCTTTTTAGATCTTATAACAGGTCGACACAACACCGTCCTTGTCTAACGCGCAATCTTAGGGAAAGTTCATTTAATATGACAGGGGGGGGAAGATGTTGAAACTCAAAGCTTGAAATTTTAGCAGCCCCCTCGCTAGCGGTTCAATTCTTTAGGAGCCCCCTCCTTGGTAGTCGAAAAAAATTTCAGAGCCCCCCCCCCTTCAATTCCTTTGCTCCCCTGAAAAAGATCGCTAGACTGTATTAAATATATTTACCATTATTGTCTTCAATGGTTTATACTATGACAAACTTGAGATACAGTTGTGATACAATTTTCTAAAGCATTTTTGGGATGAACAAGAGTGTAATAATTACCGAGACTACATTTGTTATATCTGTAAACCACGTGATATAGCTGAGTTGCACAGGTCATTAAATTGTTGAGTTGAAAACCATCCGATCTGTATGATGATGTCATGTGTTGGTTTTGAAGTATACAAATTTTCGGAGCCCCCCCTCCTAGCGCAACAATTTTTTCAGAGCCCCCCCTTCGGGTGTTCAAAAATTTTCGGAGCCCCCCCTCAATATCTTCATCCCCCCCCCCTTGTCATATTAAATGAACTTTCCCTTAAAAGAAGTAATAGTGGCTTCCATATTTTGACCAACTTAATCAGGCGAGGCCTGTAACACTGTCGAACCACAACAGAAACATAAACACGAAATCCGATTAGTCGCTGGCCAATACCTTTGTATGTACCTGGGGCGGGGGGTCATACACTGTGCCGGCTGACCATTTGGTCCATTATTCTCTCTTGATTTGGTCCCACATAGGAGCAAAGGAGTATCATTCCATCTTAAAACAATTTTTTTCTATGGGGCCCTCTAAGTCAAATACCGTGGGAATAGTAAAAAATTCTCCTTCCCCGCGTACAACACGTAAGACCTTGCAATTCTTCCGAGAGTGCTCAGGATTACTTTTTTCCACAAAATGGAAAGACTAGTAAACCAAATCATCCATTACTGCTTGAATTACCCTATCTAAGGACAAAGACACAAAGCCAACAAGGTAAAAAATGATACCCTATCTAAGGTTAGCGATCCTCAGCGATACTTACCTACCTCGCCCATATATGGGATTTCCTCTCCCCCCCAAGACTTCACGTGTCACGTGGCAAGTAAACTGAACATGGATTTGGACGACGAATGCCAGGGTATTTTGAATTCAAATATATGAAATGATTCATATCCTTTTTTTGGTGACATGTCACAGGAAGTTTCATGTCTTTCATAAAAAAGTGATTCTCGTTGGTCACGTGATTAATCAAGGCAAAAAGACATGCATGTTTGATGTTGCATGTTTCATGCAGGTATTACATGTTTGACCAAAGAAAATAATTTAAGTTTATAACAAAGTGCGATGGAATTTTTACAAATTGCGACAGCTTAGTTTATTACAAAGTGCGATGGACAGTATTACAAATTGCGACAGCTTTTTTATTTCTAAGTGTGACACGGTTTATTACAAATTGCGACAGGTATTACAAAGTGCGATGATTATTACAAATGCGAAAGTACAGGGTCACATTTTTGTGACGTCATCTGTGCGCAGCGCTATTTAACCTTTTGGCCTCTCAAAGTTGATTGATTGATTGATTGTTGCTTTCAATTTTTTATTTAAGGCGCCCAAGAAATGTCAGTTTCATGTTATTGGCAAAAAATAGATGTAGTCTCTTGCTTCTTATCATTTTTCGTCATCACTTGAAATTAAGATGTTGGCAAAATGTACCAGGAAAAATGGTAACACACCTCCTCGTGTGGCCAGGTGTGGCATCTTCTCCTTTTCACCCCTCCAGCCCTCCATCTTTTTAGAAAAACAGCATGCACCACGAAGCGATCGAAGAGAATTTCTCCCGCTCTCTTGTCAGACTTGTGAAGCTTTTTCCTGAAGCGCTTTTTTGAGATAGTTCACCAGTCGGACTCTCCTTTTTTCTCGGCATAATATTCCAGAAAGCTCATATATACCTGGATTTTTGAAAACCGGGTTAGCAAAAATATCAAGTCATTCTACTACTTGGCAATTTAAAACAACAAAACTCATTCAAAGGCCGATTAAAAACCTTTATATGACGCCGGGCAGTGCGTTAATGGTCCCTAGAAGCATTCCAACGAGTCCAAATTTAGAATGACGCAAATTTTAGAACATTTATTCAGTAAACTGACTACGCGAAGTTTCAAACCGGTGTCATTTCAGTCTAGAAATTTTTAAGTTGAGTAAGCTGCAGCGAAAGAGTGCCTGGTTAAGGTTTACATAACAACTTAAATAGTTAGCAAAACACTACTTTTTTGGCGGTCCGATAAACAACAAGATTCCGCATGGAATAGACTACAAACTGAATGAAACATAGTGCACAAATTATCACCTTCTTGTCTGCAAAAACCGGCCTATGGTGCAATGCCGTTAGAGCCTGCTGAAACTAGACCTAGATCTAATTTTCCTGAGTCGAGGGCTGCTTTTCCAAGGTACGATCAGCTAAACACCGACGAAACAATATTAATGGCTGGCACAGAATATTTTGGCGAAACCGCAGTTCAACCACGCAATCACATACCTGTCAACAGCATGCGGAACTCACACAATCCCACACTTTCGCGGCACTGATAAGACTATCCACAACCACGCATAATCTTCTCACGTTTAACATAGGCGAAATATCATCGAATAACTCGGAAAAACTCAGCCTATTGCCAGATAAACACCTCTGGACCTTTCTCTTACACTCGTCTTATGCAAGTTCCCGGATGTAGAGTCACACAGTCGGCGGATCACCTTAGCCTTGTTTTCACACCAGAAAAAATACTAACTCTTGGCCCGGGTCAAAGTTTAGTTGCAATTTTGCTCTCAACTACTTCATTTGACTCCTAAGAGCCTGTTCCCGAGGCCAAAGACTTAGTGGTCACCTTAGAAAAGCGAACAATAACGTACCTTTCTGTCTCAGCCCGGATCAGGGAGATTAATCCGTTTAGCCAAATGAAACGAGAATATAATACGATATTGGACGATGCAGACTCTGCGAATCGTAATAACTTTGTCCCATCTCAGAGCTTTACATGATGCTCTCCGGGAAACTTTTCTCAAGGTGACCAATATATAAAACTAAACTGCTAAACAGCACCGAAACCAGCCTTAAGCGCCCCCTGATTTCAAACCGATAACTGTCACTTGTGTTAAAGAAAGAATTGTGTGTAAGGAAAAAAAAAAAAATGGGGGGTTAGATAGTAATTCTGTCTACATCCACTTCTACACAAATCTCTAACCACAAGACAAGCCAAAAAAACAAACGACATAAGCAAACAACACAGTAAACAAGCTATTAGACAGCGGAAGTTGAGAAAAATAACAAAATGTTTGTTAACCCGGTTTTCATAACTCCAGGTAGATATATGTCCTAGAGAATGGAAGTTGACAAATGTATTTTTGTGGTTCAGTTTTATCTTTGGTTGAAATTTTCTTCCCTCGAACCATTTTTTTGTCGCTGGGTGGGGGGGGGGGGGGTATTGTATGATTTTATAAACAAAAGAAAATAAAATTTAGACCAAGGATAAAATTCAGCCACAACATATTGATTCTTATCCGTCCGGTCTAGTACTAAATCAGATGATGGGCTGAGATCTTCCTCCTTCTCAGGTGCTTCGTAATTTTTCCACATAGAGGCGAACGCGAAACGCCAGTGACTGGTGACGAATCGCAATGGACCAAGGGAAGGAGAAACAAGAGAGGTGCTCGCCCTTTTTCTCCTTCTCGCCTTTCTTTGCGCGCAAATTTTCATCGAAAGAGAGAGACGTCTGGGTACGAGGCAAAAAGTTTCATCTCCCATTTGAATGTCACAGCCAGTTTGCCGTACAATTAAGTTAAAGTTTACAAAGACAAAATGCTGGATAAAGGAAACAATCTTCATTTATTCAATTCTTCCCTCTGGTTTTGACAACATTTTAGAACTCTTAAAATCCTAAAGCGTACTAATTACAATCGGCCTCTCAATCAAAAACTACATAACTTCGAGACTAAAAGAAAACTCGAGCAAAATGGACTGTGGCTGGCCGGGCAGGTTGGGTTTTTCAACTCTTACGCTTCGTAGATAAACTTTAAGCTCAGCCATTTGTCGTTTTCTCCCACCGAGCCCGTGTCCGTGCGGTTTAACTTTTCACACCACTCTCCTGGTCGCATAGTATAACAATTGCCTTTAAAATTGGTTTTGTCGTACAAAACTACGGACCGGTTCTTAGACAGCACGATACCAGAGGAGATGCCTGAAGGTGGTTGTCCTAAGAACGTATTGGTCAGATCCTCCTGATCGTCTCGAAACCACTACAAGAAAATAATAATAATAATAATAAAAAGATAACACTTAGATTATGTCAGTAAAGATGATCGTGAGGTTTGGATCAGCATTAGACTATTCTTATCTTAAATGCAACACGGCTAGAAACTGAAAAAAAAATACTAACTAACCAAGCTGGAATTCACCCTCCAGGGGGTACTCCCTATAGTAACCTATGCGGGGGAGGCTACGCCCGAATGATGTACCTTTTTTAGGCTTTAGGTATTTGAAAGGGTAGGGATTTTACCCGGGGGTGGGGTGCTCCCTTATATTTACTTTATAGCTGCAGTTTATAGGTATGTGCCCCATTAGCTATATTAGCTCTAAAACCCAAGTTGTTTAAATAAAAAAAAGATGGTGATGATGATGCTGTGCCACCCCAAAGGGTCTAAACGCTTAGAGCCAGGTCATATTTAGAAGGATTTGTATGGAGTCATCAGAGCCTAACTGGACCAGTATCTAAGAGACAATTTGCCCCGAAATGCTAATTTTTGGCGAGTAGGCGTTTTGGACATTGTTCTTTCTGAATATCTTGACAAATCCTATAAATTCCCAAATTTATATTTTTTTGACCTCATCACTTTAGAACTCTATCTCTATGGCTATGACATTTTCTGAAAACTTTGAAAAACGTTATAGTGATTAGGGTTAAGCACTGACTCTAAGTGGTTAACTTTAATTTACTTATAGGTTTGTCACTATAAAAAAATGTAAAACGAACGCATCATTTTCTGATGAATCCACTGTGGTGTAGTGGTATAGGCGATAGAGTTCGGTTTCTAAGACCGCGGGTTAGGATCCCGCTAATGCCACAGTCAATTTCCCTTTTCACTTCCCAAAAAATAATTGAGGGGACTTAGACTTAAGGTTGATTTCCACTGACGCGTTTTTGGCTACGCACGCGTTAACCAGGGGAACGCACGTAAATTTTACTCGCGTAAACAAAAGATAAGAGAAGATATAAAGGGCCAGTTATTTAAACGGAGTTTAGCCAGTGTTTAACGAAACCGCCGTTCTAAACCATTTACAGTTTGCCGAACGCTTTTATATAAACACGATTTATCGTGAACAGTTTCATGAAAGCATATGTTGTAGATTAGAAAAGAATTTGTCTTCTTAAAATAACCCACTATGGACGAGATTTAAAAGTCCAAAGATTTCCTAAACCGCGTTCTAAGTTAGACTTCGTTTAAATATCCGACTCAAAGTGTTGAGATTACACGTGAAATTGAGCGAGGTTTAACTTTTACGCTTACGAGCGACCCTTCATGCGTTGCCTTTATCTTATTTGCGCACGTAAAATTTACGCGACAATGGAAATCAACCCTTAGAGAAAGACTAGAAGTACAGGTAATAGCATGATTTGTAGTGATATTTGGCATAAATACCACGAGTGATATTTCGAAATTGTTATACGTAATTTCATGAGCCGTTAGGCGAGTGAAATTTGAGACAATTTTGAAATATCACGAGTGGTAATTATGCAAAATATCATGTACAAATCATGCTATTATTTGTATATACTACTACCCGCAAAGGGTTTGTAATTTTCACATGTAGATATTTCAAATTAAGCTGAAATACCACTGCTCTAAACCAATCAAATTTCAGAAATTTTTCATGCAGTAGTATAAGAGTAGAAAGAGTAGAGACTTTAAGAAATTCACGTAAGTGTAGTTAAGAGGGGAGGTTCTGGAGGATGGAATCTAATGCCCACCGGTCAACGACAAGGCTCGATTACCAGTAGCCTCCCACGCAGGCGTGTTTAGGGGATCTTGTCTTTCATCCCTCCCCACAAGAAAGACGAGCTTCCCTAAAAACGCCTGCGTGGGAGGCTAGATTACCAGCCGCTGTTCGGGAAAATGAGCCCGCACTCATCCCCAGACCGGACCCGGGAGACGGCGGAAATGGAGCCTAGTCAACGACGTGTTTCCAGAATTTCCCAAGAACGCCTTGCGCGCATGCTGAAAAATTAACCGGGACCACCTTGCGGGCAAGTTTCTTCAAATCGAGAAGATTTCGCATATTACCAATACAACGAAAAAGCGGTGGAGTCTCCCCATTAAAAACATTGGTGAGTAACGCCGCCGGGGAATTCACTTTATTACTTCGCGGGTATGTCAGTCGTGAAATATTAGCTCGTTTCAGAGTAGTGTAGCAGCTGCTCGTAAGGTCTCTCCTAATTGGTCGCAGGAAACAATGACATGTCATTCTTTCTATTGTTTTAGTATTGTTTGGAGTCAGGGAAACGCGCCATTGGTGACTTCTCTTCCAAACAGCGGCTACATCTGTTCCGAGGTGGTGGGAGGGGTAATGGCAAACGTTTTAGTTCGAAGTTCGCCGCCCACTTCTGTGAAAGCCCTGGGATTTTACGCCAACTTGGTGAGTTATTAACCGTGTGTATCACCCCCGAGGGGGGGGTACTCCCTTATATGGCCCATACGGGGATGTGCCGCTGGACAGGGTATGGTTTTCGTCCTCTTTGTCCTAAAAAGGGTACATGATTTCGCACGACTGTCCTAAACAGGGTATACAACTGCGCGCAAGTCTGTCCTAAACAGTGTGCATGATTTGTGCGAGTCTGTTCTAATTATAAACAGGGTGTTTCATGCACGATCGATTTCGTCTTAGTGCAAACAGGGTACTAAACAATGTACTAAAATTGATTGTGTTGTCCTAAACAGGGTATATATTGTAGGAATTTTTTGTCCTAAACAGGGTCAAACCCTCAGCAGCTCACCTATACTCAAATATTGGTCGAGTAACCCCCTCTCCCCCAGGGTTATCGCGGTGAGTCAATTTCTGGTAAGTTACCAAATTTTGAAATTACAATAGTTTGGGACGCAGAATTTTGAAATTTCAAGATTTGACCTAACCCGAATTAGAACCCTGAATTTGTGTAGCTAAAAGTATCTGATACATGATTTCAGGTAGGCCGATAAGGCTTTTGTTTGCAAACACATATTGATATTAAAAATTGACTGAACTAAAATAAGCATGTTAAAATTAAGTTATCTCATAATTGTACCTCTCTGAGCAGATTATTGAATTGCAAGATAATTTTTTACGAGAAAAGTAGTTTCTTTTGAAAATAATGATTCCAGACCAGAGTTGACAAAACAAAGCCTGTTCAAATCAAAAGCGATTGAAATCTCTATCCTAGCCGGCTTCAGCTGAATCTGAAGTAAAAAAAAATCTTTGGTGTCTCATAGGCCTTTGATTTATTTGCGTTGTTTTTAGTGTAAACAGTAAAGCAGAACAAGGAGAACATAGGTTTCCCCCGTTATTACTGAATAAGTTCACTTATTATATTCGTAGTACCTTCCTCTCTGCACGATAGTCAGTGTCTTTAAACAAAATGAGTCCTTCCTCTACCAGGAACACGGAGCCATTAACGTCACTTATGGATACGTGACTTTCAACAACTCTTTGTTTCTTCACTGAAGGGCCATGGTAGTCTTGGCCCTCGTAGAAGATCCAGTTTCCTGCTTTAACATCGGCTATTGTGAAGATTCCATCTTCTTGAAGATTGGCTCGTGACTGTGTAAACGTGACCCCTTTTCCTTGTAGAAATGACTCTTCGTCCTTGTACAGCGTGATGGCCATGGCGGATCAAAGCTGCAGCAGACAGACACGGAAACATCAAACAATGCAATGATATTTACCAATTACCTTAAAAATGCCAAGCTGTGAGAGGTCGAAGAAAGAAACAATTTCCATTTGTAGATTAACGTCTCCTAATCACTTCTTTATCAATAATTATTATTTATGCGAGGCCTCGTCCCTGCAGTGGTACCCAAACTATAGACGACTAATTTCCACCTATCTTTGCATAGAAGTTTACTTACCTCTGTTTGCGAAGCGTTGAATCTGGAGAGACAACCTTTCTAGATGTCTATAAAGACACTTTTGCTACTATTTGTAATAATTCATAGAGCAGAGACCAGAACTGTGCATGTCATTCGCTTGCTTTTATTTTATCGCTTTAAGCCTCCAAAATAGAAATGCTTCAATTTAACTCGCCAGGGATTATCAAAACAGACTAAAGAAGGCTTGTACGTACTCAAAATCAGGGCTAAAGGAGTTATGTCTTTAAAAAAGATCCTCGGTGCGCCTAGCTATTGTCAGATACCTATTGACCCTACGGATTACCCTTTGTTATAGGAACGTGCCATTCGGTCTGCGTTCAGCCACTATCGATATCACTGCCAACGCACGATCAAAAGCGATGTTCATTCCGCCGGTGAAACCTACCCGTATTAATTCTCATCTAACTTGCACTACTTTCAGTGTTATCTAGTACATGATTTTCAATGTCGCCTTTGTAATCTACAATACATTGGGGGAAACAATCCGTCGCCTCAAAGACCGCTTCAATGAGCTCAGCAGGCGACATGGTACAGCAATTACATCCATACAGAAGCTTCTGAACATTTTCTTTGTAGTAACCATTCTGACAACCATATGCTTTTGATCCCTATTGAAAAACTCAAGACTGGACGCGATTCTATCAGGAAGGCGCACGAAGCGCATTACATCCATAAAGGAAGCGACCCTTGAGCTGAGGGCCGAGTTGTTCAAAGCTGGATTAAGTTAACCCAGGGTTAGTGCGAGATTTGAACTCAGATTTGAAAGGTTAAAAAGCAGTCCAGTCTTCATTCTTTTGGTCTACAAGTTGATGATCGCAAGCTCTTAAAATAACAGAGAAAGTTATCCGAGAAAATGCTTTTAAACACAAGAAAAAGAAACGCGGGTTAAATTTAACCCCGTGTTAGGCGCTAATCGGCCTTCGAACAACCGGGCCCTGGGCATTAATAAGCGTGATGATTTGCAGTTCGCCAACACCATACTACGTCATTTCTGCCCATTGTAGTACTGCATATACATTTCTGTAATTTCATGATCTTCCAGTGAATTATATGAAGACAACAATGGGATTTGTACAAAAGCGTCCCTAGTAATTAATTTAACTATTTTAATGAAGTAAATTACTTTGATTTGCATAAAAACTACAGTTGACTCCCTATAACTCGAACCCTCGCTAACTGGAAACTCACGCTCACTCGAACCAAAATCGATTTCCCTTGGATTTCCGTCATACATTTACTGTAATTTTACCCTCGGTAACTCGAATTCTCGATAACTCGAACCTCCCGCTAACTCGAAGTAGTTTTTGTTTCCCCTCAGATCATTTCTATATAATTTTTCCCTCGATAACTCGAACCATGTTTTGAGCCCTAAAAAAAGTCGGTAAAAATCGGTCTACGGACGTCCGAAACATTGAATTTCGGATTGACGTGTTGTAGGCATATAGTTTACTAGTGGAGGCTGATGTTGTTTGTCACAAATTAACACAAATCTAACAAGAAACAGCTTTCAGAGCTTTACTTCTCAAAACAGTAAGTATCTTTCAATTTTCACTTAACATTTCTATAATTAACTGTGATTAAAATGTTCACTGTGCGGTAAAAACTGTTTTTTCCTTACTCCCGGCTTTTTTCTTCTTGTTCGAGCTCCCGGTAACCCGAAATCCCGATAACTCGAACTTTTTTCGATTTCCCTTGAAGGTTCGAGTTATCGGGGGTTGACTGTATACTCCATTTGGTTTACACACGCACCAATGTTATCTCTGACAGAAGTTAATAATATGAAGTCTACACTAGAACTGAACTAGAACTAAGAGGAAAACGCTAAATTTATAATCAACGAAACGTGCTGGAAAACGATCTAGAAATGAGAGTAGCATAGTCGTGGGTCGTGGGCCCAGGTCGTGGGTAGCTACATGGTAGACCCACACAAACGGAAGGGTATAAGCGATCTTGAGCAAGTCCCTCAGGGTAGTTTCTGGGCAGGGGATGGGGTAGGATAGCTATTAGTAATAGTGGGTGGACGTCCAAAGTATCGAGTTGAAAAGGGAAGGACCATTCATAGAAAAGTGAGCATGCCGAGTAGCATAAGGAAAAATTACTGTGCTGACCTCCTATTATCAACATCAAGGAAAAACTCTGTTTTGAACAACGAGAAATCTAACACCCTGTAAACTCGGAAAAATTGCAATCGGCTGGGTGAGAATCGAACTGACCACCCTCCGAGTTTTAGTACGGATGCTCTAACCACTGATCTACTGGAGGCTCTATGGCGACAAGGGTCGAAAATCAATTATTATTACACCAGTTATACAGAACCTGTAACGGGGACTTACCGGACATTTTCAAGAAAAAAAAAATGCAAGGGAAATGTAACGAAAGAAAAATCCCCCCTCCTATTATTTCTAAAAAAGAACAAACAACCAAAAAAAGCAAAAACAAAATAAATTGTTCTTCTGTTCTTCTATTCATCCAAGAATGAAAACTGATTTCATGCAAACAGTGAATTTGTTGACAATGGAGTGTCTGTTGCAATTGAGAGTCGAAGGCTCAAACAATTTATTATCACTTTTTTAATAAAAAGTTTAAAAAAAAAACTTATATTTTCTTTAAAACCCGCTTTAAAGTCTTCTTCTGAAGGCCGATATTGGCCAGGTTTGTAGGCGTCCAGTTTTTCACGATTTAGATCTGCCACCCTTTCGAAATAGCATCAGTTCCGCGTGTAGTTACTTGCCGGAGTAGTCAATAGATAAAAATCGAAATAGATAAAAATCGTTAGCGATCAAGGAGGAATAAATTTAAAAAAACCGGGTTCTTCCTGTTCTTGCCCGGTTTAGAGCATTGCGTGATTGTGAGTCCTTCGCAAGTCTTGCGTAGCAGGTCAGAGTTGTCGCATTTTTTTTTTTATTCCCGCGAAACTCGCGCCATTTGACGACAGACCTGACGATTGAATTTGCTTTAGCCTGCTCAGCAAGCGTTTCTGTGCGGTTTAGGAGCAAAGAACGAGGAACATAGAGTCAAAGACCGCGCGAAAAATGGCGCAAGTGAAGAAAAGAAGTAGTTTGGCCTTTTCTCCGTTTATGGAGGAAGAGCAAAGAGGCTGTGCTGTTGCAATCTACAATGAGGGACAAAAGTGTTGAGACACTTCCTTAAAATGGCCCCTTTTGCATAGTGGACATACCTACTATCCCCTTCCCCTGTCTACCCCAACCAATTCCCCCAAAAATCAATGTTGTATTTTGGACCCTTAAGTCTTTCTTTTACTTCAGACAACATTGATTCGGGGGGTGAGGGGATTTACGGCGTTTATAAGGAATGAAATAATAAATGAATTAAATGTTTGACAAAAGCACCCGTTTTAAACAAGTGTGTCAACTATTTTTGTCCCTGACTTTAGCTAAATAGAGGTTTGCAAAAATTGCGTAATGTTTGTTAACGATTAACATTCAACGGTTACCCTGTAGTGTGATAAAGTTTCATGTTGTTGAGGAAGGATTTGATTGTGAATAGCTGTACTATACACTGTGCAAGACTTTTCGGTGAACTTTGATCACGGATGACAATCATGCGACCGGATATCGTCTAATCTACAGTTTATTGACAGCTAAATGCATTTATTAAATGGATGTCTGTGGATGTATCTATTTTAAAATCGACTACAGTATGTATTTCAAGGACGTAATCCAATACTACTATTGTCAATTTAGTCCGGTGTTCGCCCCCTTAATGGCGGTGTCGGCTGAATAGGGATTCGTTACAAAGAGAAGTATGAGAGGTTACTTTCGGGACCCGGCTTAGTGTTCGCTTAATAGAGGGGGTCCGCTTAATTGGCAGGGGCACCTAACGAGAATATACTTCAAAACCACTTAAACATAGTATTGTTATAAAACGTATTTTAGTATTTAAACGGTAGATATCGGCATATTTTTATCTCCTAGAATTTCTCATCTGTTCGGATTTCCTAACTGAAAGTCTACTGATCCAAAAATTTTAGGGATCAAAACTTACCTTTTCGAAAATTTCAGCCAGAAAAAGGGCTCCCGAAAATTCTAGCTGACCCTTTTAGGGTAAAAATCCGTTAAAAATGGGCAATTATACCAATTTTAGATGTTCCAAAATCCAAGGAGAGGCAGGCATGCATGAAATTTTACAACAAATGTTCCGAAAATTCTAGATCTCAAATCGTCTTTCGAACAAATATTTTCCGAAAATTAACGTTGGGTGCCCCTGAATTGGGGGTCCGCTTAATAGAGGTTTCACTGTATATTACAGAAACTTTGATTTGCAAAACAACTATACTCACTTTAGCTTGCACACCTACCAATGTTACCTAGCTTTATCTCTGACAGAAGTTTAACACCGTGAAGTTTCCACTGGAACTGAACTAAGGCCATCCCCATAAAATGTTTCGTTTCCCATCGCCCGACCGACCCATTTTTATGGAAAAGTCAAAAAAAAAGTAAAAAAAAAAAATTCCAGAATCACTTGTAAAGAAGCAAGTACTTTGATTTACAAGCACACGATCTTGTCTTAGTAACACCAATTGTCTTAAATTATCATCGATACTTCGTTTTTGTAGCCTTTTTAGACATTTGATAGTCCTGTTAATATACATCTTTTACCATCTGACTATATCTTGCAGACTAAACGTGATATTTAATATGCAATCATGTGTTCATTCTTTTTTTTTTTTTTCACCGACCGACCGACCCACCTTCACGACAGGGAGGGCAATGGGAAACGAAACATTTTATGGGGATCAGGCCTAACTAAGATGAAAACGCTAAATTTATAATCAACGAAACATGCCAAAAATCATAACGTATTTCCTATACGGACATTACATAAAAGGACAGGAAATGTAGCGGTTGGCTTATTAATAAAAAACTTTTCAATAAAGACCAGTAATGCAGGGGATAATCGATTTATAATAACTACCGTTAGCATGTTCGAGCAATTAAACGAGGAATTAACGACAAGAAATTATGGTTCAAAAGCAACAAGCATTTTCCGTAATTTGTCCTCCTGCTGACTGCAGGGAACTACTAAATATATTTAATGCTGATCGAGCATCATCATGACTGTATCTGTTTTTATTCCAACGACGGTATTTTAGACTTCCTCATTCATATTTAGGACCTAGAAATGTAGTATATTTAACATTCGACTATTAATTTTAATTTAGTGTGGTAATCTCATCAACTTCTTTCTCTTAGTTTTAAAAATCTGATGAGGCCACTCGGTTCACTGTTCTGCAAAAAACTGTTAGCACCTTTGTGGTTGTAAAATAAATTAGACAAGAGGAAAAAAATTGAAGTCATTAAATCCTGCGACTTGCCTTTCGAGGGATGAAGTGGCTTCTGCAAGATCACGCGCACAAAATGATTTGCTTCGTGAATTACTTGTTTTAAGAGGGTCTCAATGGGGTTAACCGATAGGCGTAAAACGGCCCAAAATTTAGTCGATAGCCGTAAAAATTGAAAAAATTTAACCGTTAGACGTAAATAGGGTAAAAAGAGTAAACGCTAAAAAAATTTTGCTCCTTAGATTTGATAATTTGAAGAACGTGATAAACTCACTTAGAACGGTTGTGTTTCTTTTTTCGCGGCTACTTTGACTCTTTACGTTCCCGTTTCTGCTAGTTTTGCTTTTCACGAAGATTCTGTTCAAATAAACTGTTATGTCTTTTATTAGGAATGGTCCTTTCCATGGCTCACAAAAAAATTTAGTTGACTGGCAATAGCTTAACCTTTTGTTTCTATTTTAAACAAAGAGTTCATGTCATTTTAAGAGAATGAGAAAACTGCGGCAAAGATCTTCGAAGCCGCGTACATTTCAGCTTGGCTCCGACGCTTGTAAAGAGTCACAGAAATGTTCGAGTCTCAGTCTGTATGCTTGTTCTTTTTTAGTTCATGTTTCACTGCAGTCTGTTCTTCAGTGGGGTAAAGACCCTATCGTGGTAGTAAAAAGAGAAGAGGGTAGCAAATACAAAGCGACGCGAAGAACAAATCAGTAGCCCCAAGAAAAGGAAATCACTTCAAGATGCAAAAGATGACAAACGTTTTCATAGTTAACATTTCTATGCGTAAAATGATATTAGAAGTGGAATACTCTAAACGCATGATTTGTGAAATATTAATAATTTTCAGAAGAATAACTTATTTCATCCCGCGATGATCCTAAGACATTTATTTTGCTGTAAAGATACAAAAAAAATACAGGTTTATTAATATTTAACTCTTTGAAACAAAGAAATTAATTTTTAACTTTATAGTTAACCGTAAATGAAAAAAATTACCCGATAGCCGTAAAAGAGCCAAAATTTTAGCCTCTAACCGTAAATGCCACCACCCCATTGAGACCCTCTTTTAATAATTCTCTCGCTTGAAAGATTCACATTCAGCATGACTCCAGGGAGTACAAAAGCAAATCGATTAATGAGTTTCATTTCAAAACACGAAACATCTTTTGTTTGGTGGTGAGTTTTGCATGGCTTGCAAGCAAATATGATCTTTCGAGATTAGTTGAAATATTGGATTCAGTGATTTTTAAAGAATCGAACTCTCGCCCCACAGCGGGGCATCAATTGTAAGAGGTTGTTTTTCAAAGTATTACTTGCCCTTAACAAACGGCAGAAGGCAGTTTTCTATGACCAAGCCAAAATGCCTTAGGATATTTCTATCTTTAGCATTCTCATTATCTTCTAAGTTTTACAATCACGTACTTAGCTTTTTAATGGCTGTTTTCAACAAGAGAGAAACATCTTCGTTGGAAGCTATTTATTAAATTCAGTTGAGCATTATACTACCGTGACTTTGATATTCTTCGGCATTCCCTTATGTAAATAAGAAAGAGCCATACGATGTTCTTGCATGCAGTTATAAGCCTGCGTTTGTTTGGGCACAGACGAGGCTAAAAGATCAAATATTCGTCAAGAACCGTACAGGATGACCCTATCGCCTCGGTTTTATGTCAAACCACTACACGAACTGTGTAGAACAGCTGTCAGTATGTGGCATCATGTAATTTGACTAAAATCCTATTGAATGTATGGTTTTGTTTTCACTGATCAGGGACAAAGGAAATTTGCAAACCCGTTTTTGCCGCTAAAGTGATCAGCTGAGCATTACTGTGGCATCTCTTTCATCATTATAACCGTCCAAACCTTAAAATTGTTAAAGTATTAGCCATGGATAGGCAGCTTACAGGAGAAAAGAAGAGTCACTGACCGTTTCTTTCTGACCCTGGTGTGTTGTGATAAGGGTAGGGTGCCTCGCTCTGATCACAAAACTACAGAGTTCGCATACCAATGCACTTCATGGCCGTTAAAATCTGCCGAATTATTTCCTTATCGAACTTCACTTACTCTCTACAAGTGGTTTCCCAGCTGACTGCAGAGAAAAAAGATAGACCCCTGCCACGATCCCGACCGCGCGTTTTAATCACTGACACCCGACTTTGACATCTCTTTCATCATAATAACTGTCCGAATCTTACATGAGAAAAGAAAAGTCACTGGCCGTTCCTTCATTTTGCTGCTCTTTACACCGTATCTGAGAAACTCAAAGTAAAAAAAAAAAAGAATGTGTGCACCCTGGTGCGTTGTGACAAGGGTGTGTTCACCTCGCTCTAATCACGAAACCACAAAGTTCGCAAACCAATGCACTTTATGGTCTTAAAATCTGCCGAATTATTTTCTTATTAAACTTTACTTATTCTCTACAAGTGGTTTCCCAGTTATTACAGAGATTGCGTGGAAATTCCTATACTTACTGATATTCATATTAAACAGACTGAAAAGATGATGAGTGTTCTCGTGTTGAAAAAATATTTCGCTCGTTTGCGCTGTTTTTCAACAATCAAAGAAAAATTCCGTATCTTCTCTCGGCCATGTGATATCCTCTATGTAGACAACATGCACTCTGTGAATGCCCAAAGAAATCTACTAGATACTCTTCGTCAAGCTAAGTTCACTGTCGCCTCGTTGTGATCACGAAACTACAAAGTTCGTGAAAATTCCCATACTTTAATATTCATATGGTGCATATTTTTAAACAAGGCTGTGAAAAGATAATGAATGTGGTTCTTAGTCGAACTATTCTTGCAAAACAGACTGAGGGCAGTTTTTTATATGGCCATTGCCTAGTTCCCTTTGATTACAACAAAGAATGCTTAGACACGAGTGTCAAAGAATTATCAGTTTGATAGATCTGCTATAAGCTTTTCATTGTTTTTGGGAAAACCTCTCTTTCTGCCAGTTCGTTCTCGTCTTCAATTGTGATCTGCGTTAAAATTTTCAAACACTGACCAGAATTCTCTTCCTCGGTAAGGTTACGATTCAGTTCCTACAACAGCTTCGTGCTCATTAAAACAAAGCTAGGTTAAAATTTGGAAAGGCAAAGTCAACATCCCAGTCCTCAGGGTTTACAGACATATTTCAAAGTATATTCGGTGGAAACTAAGAGCACTGTAAATATTCACTCGTTAATGTGACGCTGGAGTTTTTTGAAAACAGGACATTTATATTATTGTGTCTGGCTCGAACTCGCTTCTATCTTTCTTTCGTTGGTCTTTGAAAAAACACTGCAAATAGCAAAGAAGCGTGTCAAGATGATCGGGTGCAGGTATGTTTGTTATCATATTTGTTGAAGGAATTACTCATTTTCTTTTAGGAAAAACATCTCGAATCTCTGCCAGTCGATTTTCGTCTTCTTATCTGTGGACTACGATAAAATTTTCAAACAGTTACACTGACTAGAATCTTCTGCGATAAGATTACGAGTTATTTTCTTCATCGCCTTCGTTCACAAATAAACACAGTTTAAAACGTTGAAGGCCAAAGTCAACATCCAAGTCCTCAAGGTTGACAGGCGTTTTATAACTTTATTTAAACCTTTTTTTCCGAGATAAAGAGATTTAGAGCTCCGAAATGAGCATTTTCTTTAAAAATTCTGGTCCGTATAGCAAGTTAGGGACCGCAAATTGACCAATCGCATGGCGAAAACAGACTCAGCCATGTAATAAATGACCATACAATTCAAGGATACGTATAGGTTATGATAACCTTCGTTCGAAGTTCGATTAGCCTCTGTACACTGTAAGCCGACAAAGCCAACGACATAACAATAATGTCTACGTGGTTGTTGCTCTATTCATCAATTGGGTACGTTGTAAAGAGCGAGGAAAGGAAGTCTTAACCGAAAATAGAAGTCAGCATTGAAGATTAGGATGATTTAATTGTTTTTATGGCTTCTCGCTTGCTCACTTAAAAAAGCAAGAAGTCATTGAATCCTGCGACTTACCTTTCGTGGGATGAAGTGGCTTCTGCAAGATCACGCGCACAAAATGATTTGCTTCGTGAATTACTTGTTTTAATAATTCTCTCGCTTGAAAGATTCATATTCAGCATAACTCCAGGGAGTAGAAAAGCAAATCGATTAATGAGTTTCATTTCAAAACACGAAACATCTTTTGTTTGGTGGTGAGTTTTGCATGGCTTGCAAGCTAATATGATCTTTCGAGATTAGTTGAAATATTGGATTCAGTGATTTCAGGAGCCCATCAAATGGAGCCTCCATCTCCATTAATTTCTTGAGTCAACCCTTTCCCGAGTAGATTTATAAATAGAACGGCTAGTTTCCCGCGAAAAGTGTCATATTTCCCTGAGTCTTGTATGTCACCGTGAAGAAATATAATTGGATGAAGTCGAACTCAGAAGCCCGTCTTTCGACCGTTTTTCTTTATTCCTTTACGTCCGTTTTTACAATTTCACAGCCGCTGGGATCTGGGTATCATGAAATAAAAGTTAATGAATTACTGAGACTGAGCATGAAGCGATGGGACAAAGGCAGCTAACTGAGGATCCGGAAAGGTTATCTTTGCGAGTGTTTTTTTTTTGCCGTCATTATACATCCCACATTTAAGCATGCACCTTGAAAAGAGTCGACGATTAAACGTTCTGTGGACGATTTGAAACTTTTCGATGATCAGCGACGAAAAAGTGCCAGGGTCATATGGTTTTTGTCATCACCGAGGAGTGGATTTCGCCAGTTGAGCACCGCGTGCAAAAGCGATGACCTAAGTAGCAAGTAACGAGGAATGCTTCAGTTCCGAAATTTGAGAAATTGCAGTCTTCCTTTACAACTGACTTGTATCACCATGAGAGTTGCCTGATAAAACTAGCACTTGAAAATTTGAACAGAAGACAACAGTTGCTCGACCGTGAAGTTAACTCAAAAGTAATTTCCTAACGGAGGAATTTGTGACATCGCGCTCCAGTTCAAAGACCCACTTGTCTCAAGAAAAACAAAATAGATTGTATCTGCGCTAAAAGAATTATGACTGACTAACAGGACAATTTTCAGCAGTTAATGTATAAGTTTAGGCTCAATTCCTTCCTTCGAATTCGCATCTGTAGATCACTTTTTTGCGAGAAAACAATGACTGGGCCCGGCGTTACAAAACATAGCAGGGAATCATCACACTAGCTGACGGACAAAACAACCACAAGGACTACAAGTATTTATTCAGATAAACGCATTTCGGAAAAAAAAACCTCGAAAAACTAGAAATTTAATTAATATTGAGTCATTTAGCCGAAATAAGAACCTTGACGCTCAAAACAATTGGCTAGAGAAAACGAATCCTGTCAGAACTACAGACTGCAGGTAGTAGTTAATCATTATGCATGTAACAGACCACCTTCATGGCCTCTTAATGTAACCAAAATTAAGATTAACATAGTCAGAGTTTAAAACTTTCCACAGTATAATCTACCCGCTAGATAAAAAAAAGGAAAATCTCTGAGGGATGAAAATGCTAAAGTCACGTTTCACTAGCTCATGATTGTGTTTGGCCTGTCAACACCGAATTTCCTGCTGATTGATTAAGTACAATAGCAGTGTCATTTCGTGGTTGTGATTGGCTCTTTCCACCGTCGGCGCGCGAAGTCTCCCCTGGGAACCGTTCTAATTATAAATCTACTCGGGAAAGGGTTGACTCCAAGGGCTTGTATGGGAGATGGAGGCTCCATTTAATGGGCTCCTGGTGATTTTCAAAGAATCGAACTCTCGCCCCCACAGCGGGGCATCGATTGTAAGAAGTTGTTTTTCGAAGTATTACTAGCCATTAACAAACGGCAGAAGACAGTTTTCTATGACCAAGCCAAAATGCCTTAGGATATTTCTATCTTTAGCATTCTCATTATCCTCTAAGTTTTACAATCACCTACTGTGGGTTTGACATCTCTTTTATCTTTATAACCGTCCAGGCCTTAAAATTGTTAAAGCATTGACCATCGATAGGCAGCTTACACTGTAACTGACCTCCAGTCGCCTCGCTCTGATCACGAAACTACAAAGTTTCGTATACCAATGCACTTTATGTCTAACTATTGACTCTACTCTACAAGAACAGAAAACAAGAACAGGAGGGCATTTTGCGTGCGCATGCGTGCTTCCGCTGAACGAAAATAGCGGTGGTGCTTTACAGTACTTTGCTACAAAAAATAATCTCCAGGACAAATATCGGACGTTTTCTATGCGGGTTTTCAGTTGTAGATTTTTCAGCAGTATTTTTTGTATTCAACGAGCTCAAGCAAATACGGTACACACATGTATTGCAGAATTCTGCAAACAATAAAAATGTTGAAAAATACAACAGTCTTATCTCTGAAAACCTAACCACCACAACGGGGGTTCAAAATAAAAAAGGGTACAAAACAAATAACAAGCTCAAAGAGCGCAGGAAAAAAATGGCTAAAAAACGGATCGAGAGACAAAGAAAAAATAACGAGAAATCTATAAAGAATTTTTCAAACCAACAACTTAGCGACAGCCAAATCAGCGTTCTTTCTAAAGGGCTCAAATTTGTCCCGACACCGGTGACAGATGTGAATTACATTAGACGACAACTCTTGCTTGACTTCGAACATTTCGCGAGACGTATGCGCCTGAAATACATATTTCACCAAGAAAATAAAGAACCGCATCCATTCCACGTCAAATCTGACTGGAATCCACCGGTTCAAAAATCAGTCGCCCTAGAAAGCTACTTGGAAAGCGTGAAAATCCAACTCGCAGAGATTAAACCAATCAAACCCAAAAATAACCTGTCACACAACGAATATAAAGCTCTAACAGAGCTGAAAAAGAACACTGACATCGTTCTAAAAAAGGCAGACAAAAGCACAACAACCGTCATCATGAATAAGTGTGATAAAATACAAGAAGCTCAGATTCAACTCAACAACAGGGAACATTATAAACCTCTCCGAAATCCCATGGCAGTGGAAACATCACAAAGAGTTCAAGAGCTTGTCGCACAATTGCATCAAAATAACTTTATTGATGACATGACAAAGAAATGGTTTTCTCAAACGCGAGATCCGCCAAGAATACCAATATTTTACACCCTTACTAAGATCCACAAACCAAATCCGGTCGGAAGACCGATAATTTCGGGCTGTGAAGGCCCTACAGAAAGATTATCATTTTTTGTGGACAAACTACTTCAGCCCATCGCACAAAAACAGAAATCGTATCTCAAAGATACAACGGATTTCATAAACTTCATAGAAAAGACAAAGGTCTCTCAAGATACTATCTTAGTATCAATGGATGTAACAAGCTTGTACACAAATATACCACAGGAAGAGGGGATCACAACAGTCTGCAGAGCATACCAGGCATTCCACAACAATAACCCTCCTATACCGTCACTACTTCAAAGAAATGCTTAAACTTATCCATCAGGAAAATTCATTCCAATTTATTGGAAACAATTATCTTCAGACCCATGGCACTGCAATGGGTACAAAAATGGCCGTTGCATTTGCAAACATTTTTATGGCCGATATTGAGACAAAAATGATAAGTCAAAGTACTGAACAAAACCAATAGAATGGAAACGTTTTATTGATGACATTTTCTCACTATGGGACAGTGACAAAAAGGAAATTAACCTGTTCATTGAACAAACTAACAACTTCCATCCTACAATTAAATTTACGGCTGAAATTTCAGATAACGAGACAACCTTTCTCGACACAATTATTTTTAAAGGAGAACGTTTCCGAAATGAATCGATCCTTGACATCCGTACGCATTACAAGCCTACTGAAACCTTTCAGTATACACATTTTACCTCGAGCCATCCAGTGGGTGTGAAAAGAGGTTTTATTAAAGGCGAAGCACTCAGACTACTGAGAACAAACTCTTCTGAAACAACGTTCGATGAAAGTATCTCGAATTTTAAATCGCGCCTCATAACGCGCGGATACCCCCACGAGATGATACAGACAACGTTATCAGAAGTCAACTTCGCACAAAGACAGTCGGCTCTAACACCGCGGAAAAACGCAATGTGCATGAGCACAAAATTTGACATCCGGTCAGCTTTTTATTTCCGGTCTAGTATATAAACCAATAGCGTAAGCATAACATTGCCGTCGCACCAAGTTTAAAAGCAAAAAGGGAGAAACAGACAAAAAAGGGGGCGAAAAAAATCACTTCATTCGAAAGCTTATATATTTTTCTAGCGTCAAACTTTTGCACCACATGGTTATCTGTTTGCACCAACGGTGAAAATGATGTTTGAAGTTTGCAGGTCGCGAGCGCTCGACATGACGAATTTGTTTTTACTGGCTTTCTTGCATGCTACTTTGGCGTAAGTTAATTTGGGAGAAGTTGACAACTAAGAAAAGAATAACAATACTTATGAAAGAAACCAAAAAGGAGTCATCATTATCATTAACACTAAAACCAGGAAATAAAATTTTAGTCCGTTTAATAATTTTTGTATTATCGGAGAAAACAAGAACTCAAAACAAGAGATGGGCGGGATTTAATAACAACTTCGACTTTGATGACGGCAGTCACGAACACCCGGAGTTTTCAGTGCCGGGAAACTAACCATGCCTATAAATGACTTTCATTCAAGAAAATGCCTATTTAATTCTTTTACATGGTTGTTCTTTGGTTGAAGACTCGTTGAAGACTTCAATAATTTCAGACTGTGCGGCTCGGCTGCATCTCATGCAAACCGGTCAGTATAAAACATGGACTGCGGACTGCGGACCACGGACTGCGGACTGGGTATAAAATACGGACTAGGTATAAAACGTGGACTGGAAAATATGGACTGGGTATAAAACACGGACTAGGTATAAAACGCGGACTGCAGACTGCGGACTGGGTATAAAATAGAAATTCTTGGTGGAGGTTCTCTGAATCAAGAGCCTGACAAAAATGCTGTTTTCTACACCCATTTTAGACATGGTCTCGGTCTCTAACAATCATGAAAGGGGTCAGGACCCGGGGTTACTCTCTTATGTAAGCCATATAGGTATTTGCCGCCCTAAAGGGTAGGGTTTATGGGCCGTTTTGGTGGTCTGAAAACACTTTGAGTATTTTGGTATGAAATATTGTATGGTTTTCGAGGAAACTACGGGAGCGTACATGTACGAATGTATTTATCGTTTTCAATTTCTAAATGAATAAGAACGAAATAGAAATATGCGAATTTGAAATGCATTTGAAGAATTTGTTGTTTGCGCTTAAGAGAGGATGATCTACTGTTGCGCTCTAATCTATAATATATAATGATGACATAATTTCTGCCTCATCAGGCCTAGCCTGTTCCAGGCTTCGAGATAGTTGGGTCCGCTGAATTGAGAAAGCGCGAAAATAAAACGGGAGGAAACTGGGTAGTCTCCTCTTTATCTGAGAGCCTGGAACAGGCTAAATTAGGCCAGGTCTGGAAATGGGTATGCATTTTAGAGATCAGGTCTGAAAACGGGTGTGGAAAATGACATTTTTTATTCTGAAACAGGGTAAGGATTTAGAGAGCCAAGTGGCATAACCCCACCAAAAAATTCTTAGGACTACTCCCTTCCGGGTTTCAGGAGCAGGGTGTAAATCATGTCATCATAGTCATCGCGTAGAATATAACGTTGGGTTGGATGATTCATTTCGCTTATTATTCACGTATAGGTGAGTAATCCCTCCCCCCTAAATACTGCTTTTTTACCTCGCGGAATGCCCCTATATTGACCTTCTCGTCTGAGTTCTTCATTTCCTCATATTCCCAATGCTTTATTTGAAACGGAATGGAGGCATCTTTAAGAATTTTACCCAGACTCGGCTAACACCAATACTATTCTTTTTATTCGGTGCTTCTCCGATTGGTTCTCTTCTAACTCCCTCATTTAATAAAATTCAGAGTTTAATTTCATCGTTGTCTTGAATAGCGACATAACCTTCCTTGTCCGTGCAGTATGCTTTCCTTCTCCACATGAAGAGAATATAGACTGCGTGACCGGCTTACGGAATGTTTTTGTGTGAGGCAAGGAGCTGGAACTACTGTTTTACGGCAAGCCCGCTTTCCGTTTCCCTCAGTTTTACCTTTCTAAAGCTGTTTTATATACACAGTCCGTAGTCCGCGTTTTATACCTAGCCCGTGTTTTATACTCAGTCCGTAGTCCGCATTTTATACCTAGTCCGTGTTTTATACCCAGTCCGCAGTCCGTGGTCCGCAGTCCGCAGTCCATATTTTATACTGACCGTCATGCAAACCACAAGTGGCCCAAGCGTAACATGACAGTTTGTATGGGAAAAATAGAGTTTGAAACTTAGATGAAAAAAATGAAGTAAAAGCGATAAAAGTTCTCAATTAAGTGTAAATATTGTTACCTGGAGTCGTTGTCTTTGCTTTTACGAAGTTTCAGTGCGATTTGAGTACTTTTACAGCATCTGACCTGACAGTGTAATAATAAGAGACAAGGTAGGACAGAATCGCTCGATCGATCTTCAAAGCTGCTCAGAAGCAGCTCCAAATTTCACGCGAAAAAACAAACACACTTACATTTTACGCCGCCGAATCCACAAAGTGGTACGTTAAGATCACTTTCCTGCAATGCGTTCCGGTAAACCTTGCGTTTGGATCGCATAACTCGATCGAAAAGATCAACTACAGTTAAAAAATCGGCGCCATTTATCCGTGACTAGTAAAAGTGTAACATTTCAACCGTTTTGTCGCTCGACGGTGACTGGGCGCTAACGTCAAATAATAACTCACCGGGAGAGGGTGACATTACTTCGTTAAGACAAATCTCTACGCACCCACCTCTAAGCAACACCGCGGCAAAACGTCTACGCATGCGCCAGGTTTAGCATTTCCGGTCTCTTTTTCAGTCACACTTTCCGGTCAGATCAAAGTCTCAAGTCAAGTCTCAAATCAAAGGCCGAGATCCTAGTTCTGGGCCTCCAACGGACTTAACGAATTATAGGAAGTGCCTTTTGAACTTTTCTTTAACCTATTCGGCTAATTGTGGCTTTTTTAACAGGTCAATCATGGCGGGTACTCAAGTCCTGGTACACAGCTGGCCGGGGACCCAGCACGAGGATTCCGGTGCTGGCTCGCAGACGGACTTGACCAGGGGTCAATTTAATAAAACTGTAACAAGTATGATTTACAAGTGTTGCCCTTTTTTCAGACTCTTAAGCAATGGCTGCGCTTGTAAATTACACATGTAAAAGTTTTTTTAAAGTAACCCCTGAGGTTAAGTTTCGTTTGTTGCGCAGGCTAACTTGCGTGAACAAGCATAATTTTTGCTGATTAAATATCACGTCTAGCAACGTTCCTCGCTGCCGGCTCCCGTGAAAGGGAGCAAGGGATGGCGCAGTGGTGAGAGCGTTCACCTCTCACCAATGTGGCCCGGGCTCAAATCCCGGCAACGACGCCATACGTGGGTTGAGTTTGTTGTTGGTTCTCTCCTTTGCTCCGAGAGGTTTTTCTCTGGGTACTCAGGTTTTCCCCTCTCCTCAAATACCAACATTTTCAAATTCCAATTCGACAAGGAATCAGGTAGACGAAGAGCCACTTTGTGGATGTGCTTCCTCCAAATATTATTTATTTATTTATATTTACTTATGCTTGTCTGCTTTCTGTGCTCACTTTTAGATCGATTTTAACTTTTCCCTGGGTGGAGTTAGGCGGCAAAGTTAACATCACGTGCGCTAAGACAGGTTACAACGCTTCGATCACGTTTCACACCAAGCCGTTTTATGGCGGGAAACTTCACCGCGTCACGGGTGAAGTTAAGAACACTTCAACAGGACGGGTGATCTGTAAAGTTAATGGCGAGTGGAATGGAAAAATAGAAATCAGCTTCACAAGTCACCAGGTTTGTGTTTATTTAAAAGCTTCTTTTTTCAAACTGAAACCATACGGGTGACTTTGTGCTTTCACAAATTGCCTATAAGTCTTTCATGTAAAAGGCTCCGGGAACACTGAATTTGTTGTTTCTCCTTCAGGAAGAACCAAAAATTATTGACACCAGAGAACTTCCAGTTTTTGGAAAGAGAGTTTGTCCGGAATCAACTCAAGACGAGTGCGAGTCGCTACGTTTGTGGCATAAAGTGACGCATGCACTTAAGAATGACGACATCGAGTCTGCAACGTCAGCAAAACGCGAAGTGAGTTTTCATTAGCGTATCCCAGCGTCCTTTGGGGCTCGAGAATTTTTAGCCAATTAACTTACAGAATTACTTCCTTTATTGAAATATAGACGACTGGAAACATATGTATTTCTTTCTACACCTCAGCTCTCAGTGTAATTTTGGGTATAACTGTAAAAGGCGCATATGAAACGTAGTTCTAAGTTGTGGAGGCTAATTTATACGTTAAGAGACGAGCTTAGTAATGAGATGGGTTGTTGAAATTCCAAAGCGCCCCGCATGTCTACTGCACACTTGCAAGACACGGCCGTCTCTTTTTCAGTCGTTGAAAGTCTTCCCGTGCTTGGCACCGGTTTGTTTATTGTTTATTGTTTTGTTTGCCATAAGTTATACAAAGCAAAAAAAAATCTAATTATTTAAACTCTCATGGCGAGGAAGCCCAAGAGAAGCCACCGGGCTTATAAGGAATAGGCTCCCTCAGTTAGATAATTAGAACAACTGATTATCATAATTACACATGGGAAAATTCGTACGGAAGACCACCGCAATCATGCGGATCTTTCAGCATCGCAAGAGGTTGTGACAAAGTAACATCGACCTAAGGGAGGGTTTGTGTTCAGCGGTTTTCGTGAAAACAAGGGTTGGTGGGGGTTGCTTGGTCTCGTGGGCTCACAAAACCTCCCTTAGGTCGATATCGCATGAGAGTGGGGGAAGGGGGATCAAGGCGGTCCAAGACTCCCGCCTTCCATACCTTGCATTTCCGGCTCGCGCCCTTTTTTCCTTGACTTCCTCCCTTTAGCCAACTTCTCTCCCGCCTCCCATACCCCTCCCGTTCCCTATTCTCCCGGTCTTTCTGTCCCCTGTTCTCCCCTGCATGACAAGTGTTTTCATATGATTTCGTAATCACCAAACACATTTGGACGATTATATGGTAACTAAGCTTTACTTGAAATCCGTTTTTTTGGGTCGATTGTTCATGGATATAAAATGCAAGTAAATAATGATCAATTCGCTCTGCAAAAGAATCCTCTGCGATTGAGTTCGCGTCTAAGGTTTTAGTGATTTGGTTTAGGGTTTTCCGCTGATAGAGGCTTGATGCCCCACTAAATTTTCAATTCTAGCTTGAGGAAAAACAAAGAAAAGAAGCCAGAGAGAGAAAAGAAGCTGGTGTAGAATGGAAAACAAAGGTTAGTTGTTCTTCATTCATGTAAAATTGACCATTACTGAATTCAAAAAGGACTTAACGCAAATCGCCACGGCGACCTCAACTACGACGATCGTGGATGGGGAGTCCTGGAGAGACTAGGTCTCCGTAACTTGCCTAATTTCAACTTTAAGAAAACATTGACTACGCCCCTTCGCCGTATTAGAGGTCGCTGTAATGATTTGCTTAAATTTCCTAATGACAAGTGGCTAAAATGATGGTACAATGTTGTCTGTAAAGACTATTGACCTTTCTACTTATTTTACGGTACCTATTTACAAGGGAGGTAAGCAAACCATACACCTATAACTCATCTAACCGGGGTAATTTTCCTCCGTCATGGGTGACCAGTAATCTTGAAAGTGAATAAATTTATTCAAGTTTTGTACAAAATTTTTAAACCTTCCACTCTGCAGTCAACCGCTCTACCGACAGCGCAGGTCGTGCAGCTGTTAATAGTACTGTACCTAAGGTCCGAGTTATGTCCATATCTAGACATAAATGCCGTAGATAACAACGTGACTGGTAAAACTTAAATGATGCTTGCTTGAATAGTCATGTCCTTAAGCCCCAGTTTTGAAAATTGACTGGTTAAAATTTGCTTCAGCTAGTCAGAAGCACTACCCAGATCTGGCTAGTGACAAGTCATCAGTTTAGAGATTCTGTGCTCGTTCCTCAACCTCGGAAACCACCGTTGATGACGTCACGAGATGTCGACTTTTTTCTCAGGCTATTCCTGTTCTTAATTTTAATACGACTTTTTGATACTGTTACTCGAATGATGACATGAGTTTCACTGCCATCTCATATCTTGTTATTTTTTTTATAGATCTTTCATCGTCACGGAGACGGTTGGATGTACAATAATCACATGAAACATTTGGTGAAGCCGAGTGATGAAGAAAATTCTGCTGCAGAATCCGCCGATGTAACTGAGCGATAATTCGCTATGTCCTACTTTCATAGATAGTAGTAATATCGCTGTGGGTTCTTTTAACAAGGCTCAAGTTCATAGTTCAACCAAGGCGTTGACTGTCAGCTGAAAGAGCGATCTCTTTCCTTTGGTTGACACAGGCTGCCCATGTGAGAAACTCTGGATAGACTTAACCTAAGATCGGGCTCTATTTTTGTTTCGCTTTGAAAATAACATTCCAGCGAGCAAGGAGAATGTATGAGAACCGCTAAAATTGGGCCTGATCTCAGGTTAGGATAGACTGCACGCAGTTTCTCTTTTTCTGTAGATTCATCGAGGGGGTGGGGGAGGGGGACAGACGCTCGCGAAAGCGGCACGCGCATGATGATTTGCGTGTCTCACGGACTAAGGAAAAAACAGAGGCTGCTCGTAGTCTAAACTCTGGATGACAACTATACATTGTACAAATGATATATTGAAGCTGCCACGAGTTACATAACTGTTTTCATCGTTCATTAAACGAGTTATGATAACAATCAAAACAAAAGCAGTAATACCAGTATAGGTTAATAAACGAGCCGTGAGGATACAAAAACATGAAAAAGTTCTTTTATTTTCGTGCTGCCTCATTATTTAAATTTTTTATAAAAATGATTTTGTTAAATTTAAACCAAAACAAGCGAACTAGTTAGTGAGCGTTTTTGAGATCAAATTCTTTCTCTTTAAAGTATAATTAGCAAGTTTTTTTTTTCTTTTTTATAACTTAGGGTTTGCTGCCTTTATTGTCTTCATTGCAATTTGAGAATTTACCTTTCTTCCTTAACATCTTGAATACAGTGGTGTTTTTTCAAAAACGCGTAACAACTGGCAGTGAAATGGAAGTAAAAATAATTATGATTCCCTTGTACTGTTCTTGGAATTCCGTCGTCTGGAACACAACACAGAGAGTAAATTCTTTTTTATGGTCTTTTCACTGGTTAATTAATAGGAAAAGCATGCACATGTATGCCTTGTCCGATATAACACAAATAGAAAGTATGATGCCTCTTTTGGGACTTGTAACTAAACACTATACATGTAATTAGGTGAAAAACGAACGTGTTATGCGAACGCTGGTGAGTAGACAGTTGCAAGACATTCCCTGAAAACGTTTCGGTGGTGGAATATTCGTTTCACTAATCGGACGTTCATAGGCTGAACTCCTGGAGGTCGGATGAACACTCGAAATCCAGTTCTTTTGTCCAAAAAGTTCTGTGCCACTGACTCGCTGCCCGACTAATTTTGTGAATGAACATGTCGTGTGGTGTCTAAATTCAATGATTTGCTAGGAACCCAAGACACAAAAGTAAGCCAAGACACTCTAGCAACCCAAGACACAAAAGTAAGCCAATTACCTCAGGTACGCCAAGTAACTGAAGTAGGGCAAGACACAAAAGTGAGCCAAGACACTAAAACAACCCAAGACACAAATATAAGCCAAGTAACTTATGCACGCCAAATAACTGAAGTAGGTCAAGATACCAAGGCAACCCAAGACACGAAAGTAAGCCAAGTACCTCAAGCAGGCCAAGTAACAAAAGTAAGCCAAGACACTGAAGCAATCCAAGACAGACAAGTACGCCAAGTACCTCAAGCACGCCAAGTAACTGAAGTAGGCCAAGACACTGAAGCAATCCAAGACACACGTAAGCCAAGTACCTCAAGCACGCCAAGTACCCGAAGTAGGCCAAGACACAAAAGTACGCCAGGACACTCAAACACGCCAAGTAACTGAGGTAGGCCAAGACACTTAAGTGAGCCAAGACACAAAAGTAAGCCATGTACCTCAAGAACGCCAAGTAACTGAAGTACGCCAAGACACAAAAGTAAGGCAAGACACTCAAGCAACCCAAGACACACAAGTAAGCCAAGTACCTCAAGCACGCCAAGTAATTTAAGTAGGCCAAGACAGTCAAGCAACCCAGGACACACAAGTAAGACAAGTACCTCGGTACGCTATAAGACGCAGTGCACTGTAAGAATTTATACAATGATGTGAATGCTACGCGCGCTGTGATTGGTCGTTGCCCATGATCTATTAGAGTACAGATACATGGATGAGGTCACGGGAAACTTGTTTTCTTTGTTTTGTTCAACATGGCACGCGGTTTTGAAAATGTTTGTGAGATTATTTCGGATTGAGGCAAGTGAAAGCCTCGGAAAAAGTTTAGCAGGAGCTATTTACAAAGAAGAAAAATGGAGAAACGGAGACCAAAAAAGCTATTGACTACTTGACAATGCCTAAACTACAAGAAATCTTCACAACAGTTGCCATTGTGTGTCTTCGCTACGAGAGACTCGCTGTTTTGCAAAATGTTTTCGCTATTATTCTTCTTTGAGCAAGAAAAGACGGTGAAAAACGTTTCGAAGAATCTGTACACAAGTAAGATAAAGAAGAAGCTAAGATGAAAAGTTGGGTTTGGGACTTAAAAAATGCCTAAACTAGCACAAACCTCAAAAGGTCAAGCGGTTCGAGGCAGGTATGTGTATCGGTCTTTTTCTTTTCTAATCATTGTATAAAACAAATAGATTCCATGTTGCCGTGGGTCTGTTAAGTAATAGATCACAGAGGACGTCAAAATGTGGTAAAAACAACAGTGACACACTTGCCTGCGGCTCGTGTGCCACTTCTTTGTTTTTACGCCATTTTGACGTCATCTATGATCTATTACTGAACAGACGCACGGCAACATGGAATCTATTTGTTAACTACATCTCGGTACACTATAGGAATCATATATGAAGTACCTACCGTTGTTGCGTCAGCGAATAAACGCCGACCATTATTGCGCCTTCATGCACCCCTTCGCGCCAAATTCTCGCATACGAACGCACAGGCGGCCCAGACGTAGTATGTGTCACTGAATGAATATATTAATATCCACATGGACAAATTAATGCGATGAGTCGTCGAAACTCCCATGGACTAAAATAGTCTAAAAGTCAAAATATAACAAAACAAAGCTAAGATACCTTCAACTGACCGTATCCTTGTCTTTCCTGGCCGGTTTAAGTGGCATTTTGTTGAGTTTTAAAATTGTAGGTACTATCCACTAAAGAAGAATTAAAGACTGGCTACAAAACAAACAGATCATCTCCACGCGCCTTCACACGAAGCGCTATACATTCGAGAATAATCGACGAATCCGTTCCAAATAACCATCGGCTAATCTGCAGGTAACGTGTGCTCCTGCTTCTGGCTCGCTTGCTCCACAAAACCCATCGCAACTGCACAATAATTGCTTGCTCATCAACAACCACTGTTGACCAGTTACGCTTCGATATGACCGCAAACGACCAGGTTTAATACGCGACGTGAATATTCAAGCTTAGCGACCGCCTTCGTGCAACAATGCAGCACTTGCTATGGGAGGGATGGTACTATTGCTTCCAAAGTGCTATATATTCATTCAGTGACACATACTACGTCTGGGCCGCCTGTGACGAACGCGGCTCAAACGTAGCAACAGGAAAAGTTCAAAAACAATTTCAAAAATCCCTGTTTATGTATTTAAAAGAGCATCGTCAACTTGAATAAGATCCTTATTTTAAAGCTTTTGGAATACCAAAACAAGCTGCTGCAGGTGCTTCTTATGGGACATGGTGAAGATTGTTAATTTGTCATATAGCTTCATATGGTAGTTCTTGTTTGCCAGGAAAAGAAGCGGTGAGTTTTGTTGTGTCGCCTCTCAATGCAAGGCTGAATGCACTGTTTTAAGACAGATGAGAACCGGAAAGTTCAAAAGAATCATCGATCAGTTTTCTTTTAGTGGAAAAAGAAGAAAAGAAGCTTTCAGCTGAACACTGATTTGCCCTCAAGGACTTCAACCTGGTTGGTTTCTTCACGGTGGAACGCTTGTCCTGTTCTGAAAAGAAACTAAAGCGGCAACGTTTTAAAAGAATTTTCAGGTGCAACTTGCGCATTAATGGTGAAGGAAGTTCCGTTTCTAAATGGAAATTTAAGTGTTTATAGTTGTGTCATAGATGTTTTATACGACTTGAGACGGATTTTGGCGTCGACATTTGATGTCTTCGGCCGCTTTTACTTGCGTGAAAGGGTTGTGAAATGATCCACGATCCAGTTAGTATTACGCGAATTGCTTTTAAGGATAAAATTATGTGTTTTCGAATGAAATGTTTCGATAAATAATTTCTCTGACTACTGTTTTCTCTATGTTCATTGATAACACTACTTTAAAACACAATCGTGAGACTACTGGATCCAGTTTATTTATTTATTTCCTTGTCGGCGAATTTCATGTTTCACTTTGAGCACAACTATGGTTTATCGGTTAAGCTTGAAAACTTATTTGCACCCTAAGTTAACTGCTTAAATGTTCATGAAACTACCGTTGTTTGAAATGAAAACTTCGTAAAAACGCGCCGGTGGAATAGTCATTTATAGATTATACCAGCGCTCCGAAAAACGTTTTAGAACATTTTCCAGCTTTTGATGTATAGCATCAATGCGTTTGTAGCAATTTTTACAAAGGCGTTTAATAAGATGGTTTAACTCAGGCCAGCAGGTCATAATATGATCCTTGCTCTGGCTTAAAAACAAAAGCTCGAGGAGAGTTGTTCGAAAGTAGTTTTCGCAAGTTTAATTCCCGCGAAACTCACGCAAATTTGACGAACTAGTTGCTTGCGAATCGCGTGACGAATTTTGCACATATACGATAGAAAATTGAAGCACTGGGGTCGAGGATAGGTTGGAATTCTTGTCGCGACCTCTAGCAGAAATGGCCAATGTTTGTCTGAATCTCCTGAACTGTCGCAATTTGTAATAATCATAACTAAACTTTTTTTTTCATCAACGTTGATTGGTTATCTGACTTACGAAATTCTGTATTCTTAAACCTTGCAATTGTACTACATGGTTACCCGGGGGAGGCGGGGGCGTACTCCCTTATATGGCCAACACGGGGATGTGCCTCAAGACACAGCATAGCCTCCCCGCAGACGTCCTTTGGGGTTCGTTCGTCACACATGGGGGCGAACCCTAAAGGACGTCTGTGGGGAGGCTAGACACAGCATTGTACGAGTACAAAATCTAGACTCAGTAGACACAAACGAGCTATCATTAACAGGCATTTAATTTCCACAAATCGTAACATCCATCCTGCCATTCAAGTAAGGACACTAGGAAAGTTCAAGCTTTCCTTTTTAGATCTTATAACAGGTCGACACAACACCGTCCTTGTCTAACGCGCAATCTTAAAAGAAGTAATAGTGGCTTCCATATTTTGACCAACTTAATCAGGCGAGGCCTGTAACACTGTCGAACCACAACAGAAACATAAACACGAAATCCGATTAGTCGCTGGCCAATACCTTTGTATGTACCTGGGGCGGGGGGTCAAACACTGTGCCGGCTGACAATTTGGTCCATTATTCTCTCTTGATTTGGTCCCATATAGGAGCAAAGGAGTATCATTCCATCTTAAAACAATTTTTTTCTATGGGGCCCTCTAAGTGAAATACCGTGGGGATAGTAAAAAATTCTCCTTCCCCGCGTACAACACGTAAGACCTTGCAATTCTTCCGAGAGTGCTCAGGATTACTTTTTTCCACAAAATGGAAAGGATAGTAAACCAAATCATCCATTGCTACTTGAATTACCCTATCTAAGGACAAAGACACAAAGCCAACAAGGTAAAAAATGATACCCTATCTAAGGTTCGCGATCCTCAGCGATACTTACCTACCTCGCCCATATATGGGATTTCCCCTCCCCCCCAAGACTTCACGTGTCACGTGGCAAGTAAACTGAACATGGATTTGGACGACGAATGCCAGGGTATTTTGAATTCAAATATATGAAATGATTCATATCCTTTTTTTGGTGACATGTCACAGGAAGTTTCACGTCTTTCATAAAAAAGTGATTCTCGTTGGTCACGTGATTAATCAAGGCAAAAAGACATGTATGTTTGATGTTGTATGTTTCATGCAGGTATTACATGTTTGACCAAAGAAAATAATTTAAGTTTATAACAAAGTGCGATGGAATTTTTACAAATTGCGACAGCTTAGTTTATTACAAAGTGCGATGGACAGTATTACAAATTGCGACAGCTTTTTTATTACTAAGTGTGACACGGTTTATTACAAATTGCGACAGGTATTACAAAGTGCGATGATTATTACAAATGCGAAAGTACAGGGTCACATTTTTGTGACGTCATCTGTGCGCAGCGCTATTTAACCTATTGGCCTCTCAAAGTTGATTGATTGATTGATTGTTGCTTTCAATTTTTTATTTAAAACGCCCAAGAAATGTCAGTTTCATGTTATTGGCAAAAAATAGATGTAGCCTCTTGCTTCTTATCATTTTTCGTCATCATTTGAAATTAAGATGTTGGCAAAATGTACCAGGAAAAATGGTAACACACCTCCTCGTGTGGCCAGGTGTGGCATCTTCTCCTTTTCTCCCCTCCAGCCCTCCCTCTTTTTAGAAAAACAGCATGCACCACGAAGCGATCGAAGAGAATTTCTCCCACTCTCTTGTCAGACTTGTGAAGCTTTTCCTGAAGCGCTTTTTTGAAATAGTTCACCAGTCGGACTCTCCTTTTTTCTCGGCATAATATTCCAGAAAGCTCATGTATGACCTACAGAATGGAAGTTGACAAATGTATTTTTTGTTGTTCAGTTTTATCTTTGGTTGAAATTTTCTTTCCTCGAACCTTTTTTTGTCGGTGGGGGGAGGGGGGGGGGATATTGTATGATTTTGTAAACAAAAGAAAATAAAATTTAGACCAAGGATAAAGTTCAGCCACAACATATTGATTCTTATCTCTCCGGTTTAGTACTAAATCAGATGATGGGCCGAGATCTCCCTCATCTCAGGTGCTTCGTATTTTCCACATAAAAAGGCGAACGCGAAACGCCAGTGACTGGTGACGAATCGCAATGGACCATGGGAAGGAGAAACAAGAGAGGTGGTCGCCCTTTTTCTCCTTCCCGCCTTTCTTTGCGCGCAAATTTTCATCGAAAGAGAGAGACGTCCGGGTACGAGGCAAAAAGTTTCATCTCCCATTTGAATGTCACAGGCAGTTTCCCGTTCTCTTGGTTAAAGTTTACAAAGACAAAATGCTGGATAAAGGAAACAATCTCCATTTATTCAATTCTTCCCTCTGGTTTTGACAACATTTTAGAACTCTTAAAATCCTAAAGTGTACTAATTACAATCGGCTTCTCAATCAAAAACTACATAACTTCGAGACTAAAAGAAAACTCAAGCAAAATGGAGTGTGGCTGGCCGGACAGGTTGGGTTTTTCAACTCTTACGCCTTTAGATAAATTTGAAGCTCAGCCATTTGTCGCTTTTTCCCCCGGCGCCCGTGTCCGTGCGGTTTAACTTTTCACACCACTCTCCTGGTTTCATAGTATAAGAATTGCCTTTAAAATTGAGGTCGTCGTACAAAACTACGGACCGGCTGTTAGACAACACGATACCAGAGGAGATGCCTGAAGGTGGTTGGCCTGTGAACGTATTGGTCAGATTCTCCTCATTGTCTCCAAACCACTACAAGAAAATAATAATAATAATAATAAAAAGATAACACTCAGATTATGTCAGTAAAGATGATCGTGAGGTTTGGATCAGTGCAACACGGCTAGAAACTGAAAAAAAAAATACTAACTAACCAAGCTGGAATTCACCCCCCAGGGGGTACTTCCTATAATGACCTATGCGGGGGAGGCTCCGCCCGAATGATGTACCTTTTTTAGGCTTTAGGTATTTGAAAGGGTAGGGATTTTACCCGGGGGTGGGGTGCTCCCTTATATTTACTTTATAGCTGCAGTTTATAGGTATGTGCCCCATTAGCTATATTAGCTCTAAAACCCAAGTTGTTTAAATAAAAAAAAGATGGTGATGATGATGCTGTACCACCCCAAAGGGTCTAAACGCTTAGAGCCAGGTCATATTTAGAAGGATTTGTATGGAGTCATCAGAGCCTAACTGGACCAGTATCTAAGAGACAATTTGCCCCGAAATGCTAATTTTTGGCGAGTAGGCGTTTTGGACATTGTTCTTTCTGAATTTCTTGACAAATCCTATAAATTCCCAAATTTATATTTTTTTGACCTCATCACTTTAGAACTCTATCTCTATGGCTATGACATTTTCTGAAAACTTCGAAAAACGTTATAGTGATTAGGGTTAAGCACTGACTCTAAGTGGTTAACTTTAATTTACTTATAGGTTTGTCACTATAAAAAAATGTAAAACGAACGCATCATTTTCTGATGAATCCACTGTGGTGTAGTGGTATAGGCGATAGAGCTCGGTTTCTAAGACCGCCGGTTAGGATCCCGCTAATGCCACAGTCAATTTCCCTTTTCACTTCCCAAAAAATAATTGAGGGGACTTAGACTTAAGGTTGATTTCCACTGACGTGTTTTTGGCTACGCACGCGTTAACCAGGGGAACGCACGTAAATTTTAATCGCGTAAACAAAAGATAAGAGAAGATATAAAGGGCCAGTTATTTAAACGGAGTTTAGCCAGTGTTTAACAAAACCGCCGTTCTAAACCATTTACAGTTTGCCGACCGCTTTTATATAAACATGATTTATTATGAACAGTTTCATGAAAGCATATGGCGTAGATTAGAAAAGAATTTGTCTTCTTAAAATAACCCACTATGGGCGAGATTTAAAATTAAAGTCCAAAGATTTCCTAAACCGCGGTCTAAGTTAGACTTTGTTTAAATATCCGACCCAGAGTGTCGAGATTAAACGTGAAGTTGAGCGAGGTTTAACTTTTACGCTTACGAGCGACCGTTCATGCGTTGCCTTTATCTTATTTGCGCACGTAAAAATTACGCGACAGTGGAAATCAACCCTTAGAGGAAGACTAGAAGTACAGGTAATAGCATGATTTGTAGTGATATTTGGCATAAATACCACGAGTGATATTTCGAAATTGTTATACGTAATTTCACGAGCCGTTAGGCAAGTGATATTTGAGACAATTTTGAAATCTCACGAGTGGTAATTATGCAAAATATCATGTACAAATCATGCTATTATTTGTTTATACTACTACCCGCAAAAGGTCTGTAATTTTCACATGTAGGGATTTCAAATTAAGCTGAAATACCACTGCTCTAAACCAATCAAATTGCAGAAATTTTTCATGTAGTAGTATAAGAGTAGAAAGAGTAGAGACTTAAGAGGGGAGGTTTTGGAGGATGAAATCTAATGCCCACCGGTCAACGACTAGGCTCGATTACCAGTAGCCTCCCACGCAGGCGTTTTTTTTAGGGGAGCACGTCTTTCATCCCTCCCCCAAGAAAGACGAGCTTCCCTAAAACGCCTGCGTGGGAGGCTAGATTGGCCGCTGTTCGGGAAAATGAGCCCGCACTCATCCCCAGACCGGACCCGGGAGACGGCGGAAATGGAGCCTAGTCAACGACGTGTTTCCAGAATTTCCCAAGAACGCCTTGCGCGCATGCTGAAAAATTAACCGGGGCCACCTTGCGCGCCTAGTCTCTTCAAATCGAGAAGATTTCGCATATTACCAATACAACGAAAAAGCGGTGAAGTCTCCCAGTATAAAACATTGGTGAGTAAGGCCACCGGGGAATTCACTTTATTACTTCGCGGATATGTCAGTCGTGAAATATTAGCTCGTTTCAGAGTAGTGTAGCAGCTGCTCGTAAGGTCTCTCCTAATTGGTCGCAGGAAACAATGACATGTCATTCTTTCTATTGTTTTAGTATTGTTTGGAGTCAGGGAAACGCGCCATTGGTGACTTCTCTTCCAAACAGCGGCTACATCTGTTCCGGGGTGGTGGGAGGGGTAATGGCAAACGTTTTAGTTCGAAGTTCGCCGCCCACTTCTGTGAAAGCCCTGGGATTTTACGCCAACTTGGTGAGTTATTAACCGTATGTTATCACCCCCGAGGGGGGGTACTCCCTTATATGGCCCATACGGGGATGTACCGCTGGACAGGGTATGGTTTTCGTCCTCTTTGTCGTAAAAAGGGTACATGATTTCGCACGACTGTCCTAAACAGGGTATACAATTGCGCGCAAGTCTGTCCTAAACAGTGTGCATGATTTGTGCGAGTCTGTTCTAATTATAAACAGGGTGTTTCATGCACGATCGATTTCGTCTTAGTGCAAACAGGGTACTAAACAATGTACTAAAATTGATTGTGTTGTCCTAAACAGGGTATATATTGTAGGAATTTTTTGTCCTAAACAGGGTCAAACCCTCAGCAGCTCACCTATACTCAAATATTGGTCGAGTAACCCCCCCTCCCCACCTCCTCCAGGGTTATCACGGTGAGTCAATTTCTGGTACGTTACCAAATTTTGAAATTAGAATAGTTTGGGACGAAGAATTTTGAAATTTCAAGATTTGACCTAACCCGAATTAGAACCCTGAATTTGTGTAGCTAAAAGTATCTGATACATGATTACAGGTAAGCCGATAAGGCTTTTGTTTGCAAACACATATTGATATTAAAAATTGACTGAACTAAAATAAGCATGTTAAAATTAAGTTATCTCATAATTCTACCTCTCTGAGCAGATTATTGAATTGCAAGATAATTTTTTACGAGAAAAGTAGTTTCTTTTGAAAATAATGATTCCAGACCAGAGTTGACAAAACAAAGCCTGTTCAAATCAAAAGCGATCGAAATCTCTATCCTAGCCGGCTTCAGCTGAATCTGAAGTAAAAAAAAATCTTTGGTGTCTCATAGGCCTTTGATTTATTTGCGTTGTTTTTAGTGTAAACAGTAAAGCAGAACAAGGAGAACATAGGTTTCCCCCGTTATTACTGAATAAGTTCACTAATTATATTCGTAGTACCTTCCTATCTCCACGAAAGTCAGTGTCTTTAAACAAAATGAGTCCTCCCTCTACCAGGAACACGGAGCCATTAACGTTACTTATGGATACATCACTTTCAACACGTCTTTGTTTCTTCACTGAAGGGCCATGGTAGTTTTTGCCCTGGTAGAAGATCCAGTTTCCTGCGTTAACATCGGCTGTTGTGAAGATTCCGTCTTTTTGAAGATTCGCTTGTGACGTTGTATACGTGACCCCATTTCCTTGTGACTTGTCGCCCTTGTATAACGTGATGGACATGGCGGATCAAAGCTGCAGCAGATAGACACGGAAATATCAAACAATGCAATGATATTTACCAATTACCTTAAAAATGCCAAGAAGTGAGAGGTCGAAGAAAGAATCAGTTTCCATTTGTAGATTAACGTCTCCGAATCACTTCGTTATCAATATAATAATTATTATTTATGCGAGGCCTCGTCCCTGCAGTGGTACCCAAACTATAGACGACTAATTTCCACCTATCTTTGCAGAGAAGTTTACTTACCTCTGTTTGCGAAGCGTTGAATGTGGAGAGACAACCTTTCTAGATGTCTATAAAGACACTTTTGCTACTATTTGTAATAATTCATAGACCAGAGACCAGAACTGTGCATGTCATTCGCTTGCTTTTATTTTATCGCTTTAAGCCTCCAAAATAGAAATGCTTCAATTTAACTCTCCAGGGATTATCAAAACAGACTAAAGAAGGCTTGTACGTACTCAAAATCAGGGCTAAAGGAGTTATGTCTTTAAAAAAGATCCTCGGTGCGCCTAGCTATTGTCAGATACCTATTGACCCTACGGATTACCCTTTGTTATAGGGACGTGCCATTCGGTCTGCGTTCAGCCACTATCGATATGACTGCCAACGCCCGATCAAAAGCGATGTTCATTCCGCTGGTGAAACCTACCGTATTAACTCTCATCTAACTTGCACTACTTTCAGTGTTATCTAGTACATGATTTTCAATGTCGCCTTTGTAATCTACAATACATTGGGGGAAACAATCCGTCGCCTCAAAGACCGCTTCAATGAGCTCAGCAAGCGACATGGTACAGCAATTACATCCATACAGAAGCTTCTGAACATTTTCTTTGTAGTAACCATTCTGACAACCATATGCTTTTGATCCCTATTGAAAAACTCAAGACTGGACGCGATTCTATCAGGAAGGCGCACGAAGCGCATTACATCCATAAAGGAAGCGACCCTTGAGCTGAGGGCCGAGTTGTTCAAAGCTGGATTAAGTTAACCCAGGGTTAGTGCGAGATTTGAACTCAGATTTGAAAGGTTAAAAAGCAGTCCAGTCTTCATTCTTTTGGTCTACAAGTTGATGATCGGAAGCTCTTAAAATAACAGAGAAAGTTATCCGAGAAAATGCTTTTAAACACAAGAAAAAGAAACGCGGGTTAAATTTAACCCCGGGGTAGGCGCTAATCGGCCTTCGAACAACCGGGCCCTGGGCATTAATAAGCGTGATGATTTGCAGTTCGCCAACACCATACTACGTCATTTCTGCCCATTGTAGTACTGCATATACATTTCTGTAATTTCATGATCTTCCTGTGAATTATATGAAGACAACAATGGGATTTGTACAAAAGCGTCCCTACCAATTAATTTAACTATTTTAATGAAGTAAATTACTTTGATTTGCATAAAAACTACAGTTGACTTCCTATAACTCGACCCACTCGAACCAAAATCGATTTCCCTGGATTTCCGTCATACATTTATTGTAATTTTACCCTCGGTAACTCGAATTCTCGATAACTCGAACCTCCCGCTAACTCGAAGTAGTTTTTTGTTTCCCCTCAGATCATTTCTATATAATTTTTCCCTCGATAACTCGAACCATGTTTTGAGCCCTAAAAAGTCGGGAAAAATCGGTCTACGGACGTCCGAAACATTGAATTTCGGATTGACGTGTTGTAGGCATATAGTTTACTAGTGAAGGCTGATGTTGTTTGTCACAAATTAACACAAATCTAACATGAAACAGCTTTCAGAGCTTTACTTCTCAAAACAGTAAGTATCTTTCAATTTTCACTTAACATTTCTATAATTAACTGTGATTAAAATGTTCACTGTGCGGTAAAAACTGTTTTTTCCTTACTCCCGGCTTTTTTCTTCTTGTTCGAGCTCCCGGTAACCCGAAATCCCGATAACTCGAACTTTTTTCGATTTCCCTTGAAGGTTCGAGTTATCGGGGGTTGACTGTATACTCCCTTTGGTTTACACACGCACCAATGTTATCTCTGACAGAAGTTGATAATATGAAGTCTACACTAGAACTGAACTAGAACTAAGAGGAAAACGCTAAATTTATAATCAACGAAACGTGCTGGAAAACGATCTAGAAATGAGAGTAGCACAGTCGTGGGTCGTGGGCCCAGGTCGTGGGTAGCTACATGGTAGACCCACAAAAACGGAAGGGTATAAGCGATCTTGAGCAAGTCCCTCAGGGTAGTTTCTGGGCAGGGGGTGGGGTAGGATAGCTATTAGTAATAGTGGGTGGACGTCCAAAGTATCGAGTTGAAAAGGGAAGGACCATTCATAGAAAAGTGAGCATGCCGAGTAGCATAAGGAAAAATTACTGTGCTGACCTCCTATTATCAACATCAAGGAAAAAATCTGTTTTGAACAACGAGAAATCTAACACCCTGTAAACTAGGAAAAGTTGCAATCGGCTGGGTGAGAATCGAACTGACCACCCTCCGAGTTTTAGTACGGATGCTCTAACCACTTATCTACTGGAGGCTCTATGGCGAGAAGGGTCGAAAATCAATTATTATTACACCAGTTATACAGAACCTGTAACGGGGACTTACCGGAAATTTTCAAGAAAAAAAAAAAAAAAATGCAAGGGAAATGTAACGAAAGAAAAAAATCCTCCTATTATTTCTAAAAAAAGAACAAACAACCAAAAAAAGCAAAAACAAAACAAATTGTTCTTCTGTTCTTCTGTTCATCCAAGAATGAAAACTGATTTCATGCAAACAGTGAATTTGTTGACAATGGAGTGTCTGTTGCAATTGAGAGTCGAAGGATCAAACAATTTATTATCACTTTTTTTTAATAAAAAGTTAAAAAAAAAACTTATCTTTTCTTTAAAACCCGCTTTAAAGTCTTCTTCTGAAGGCCGATATTGGCCAGGTTTGTAGGCGCCCAGTTTTTCACGATTTAGATCTGCCACCCTTTCGAAATAGCATCAGTTCCGCGTGTAGTTACTTGCCGGAGTAGTCAATAGATAAAAATCGAAATCGATAAAAATCGTTAGCGATCAAGGAGGAATAAATTTAAAAAAAACCGGGTTTCTTCCTGTTCTTGCCCGGTTTAGAGCATTGCGTGATTGTGAGTCCTTCGCAAGTCTTGCGTAGCAGGTCAGAGTTGTCGCATTTTTTTTTATTCCCGCGAAACTCGCGCCATTTGACGACAGACCTGACGATTGAATTTGCTTTAGCCTGCTCAGCAAGCGTTTCTGTGCGGTTTAGGAGCAAAGAACGAGGAACATAGAGTCAAAGACCGCGCGAAAAATGGCGCAAGTAAAGAAAAGAAGTAGTTTGGCCTTTTCTCCGTTCATGGAGGAAGAGCAAAGAGGCTGTGCTGTTGCAATCTACAATGAGGGACAAAAGTGTTGAGACACTTCCTTAAAATGGCCCCTTTTGCATAGTGGACATACCTACTATCCCCTTCCCCTGTCTACCCCAACCAATTCCCCCCAAAATCAATGTTGTATTTTGGACCCTTAAGTCTTTCTTTTACTTCAGACAACATTGATTCGGGGGGTGAGGGGATTTACGACGTTTATAAGGAATGAAATAATAAATGAATTAAATGTTTGACAAAAGCACCCGTTTTAAACAAGTGTGTCAACTATTTTTGTCTCTGACTTTAGCTAAATAGAGGTTTGCAAAAATTGCGTAATGTTTGTTAACGATTAACATTCAACGGTTACCCTGTAGTGTGATAAAGTTTCATGTTGTTGAGGAAGGATTTGATTGTGAATAGCTGTACTATACACTGTGCAAGACTTTTCGGTGAACTTTGATCACGGATGACAATCATGCGACCGGATATCGTCTAATCTACAGTTTACAGCTAAATGCATTTATTAAATGGATGTCTGTGGATGTATCTATTTTAAAATCGACTACAGTATGTATTTCAAGGACGTAATCCAATACTACTATTGTCAATTTAGTCCGGTGTTCGCCCCTTAATGGCGGTGTCGGCTGAATAGGGATTCGTTACAAAGAGAAGTATGAGACGTTACTTTCGGGACCCGGCTTAGCGTTCGCTTAATAGAGGGTGTCCGCTTAATTGGCAGGGGCACCTAACGAGAATATACTTCAAAACCACTTAAACATAGTATTGTTATAAAACGTATTTTAGTATTTAAACGGTAGATATCGGCATATTTTTATCCCCTAGAACTTCTCATCTGTTCGGATTTCCTAACTGAAAGTCTAGTGATCCAAAAATTATAGGGATCAAAACTTACCTTTTCGAAAATTTCAGCCAGAAAAAGGGCTCCCGAAAATTCTAGCTGACCCTTTTAGGGTAAAAATCCGTTAAAAATGGGCAATTATACCAATTTTAGATGTTCGAAAATCCTAGGAGAGGCAGGCATGCATGAAATTTTACAACAAATGTTCCGAAAATTCTAGATCTCAAATCGTCTTCCGAACAAATATTTTCCGAAAATTAACGTTGGGTGCCCCTGAATTGGGGGTCCGCTTAATAGAGGTTTCACTGTATATTACAGAAACTCTGATTTGCAAAACAACTATACTCAGTTTAGCTTGCACACCTACCAATGTTACCTAGCTTTATCTCTGACAGAAGTTTAACACCGTGAAGTTTCCACTGGAACTGAACTAAGGCCATCCCCATAAAATGTTTCGTTTCCCATCGCCCGACCGACCCATTTTTATGGAAAAGTAAAAAAAAAAAAGTAGAAAAAAAAAAAAATTCCAGAATCACTTGTAAAGAAGGAAGTACTTTGATTTACAAGCACACGATCTTGTCTTAGTAACACCAATTGTCTTAAATTATCATCGATACTTCGTCTTTGTAGCCTTTTTAGACATTTGATAGTCCTGTTAATATACATCTTTTACCATCTGACTATATCTTGCAGACTAAACGTGATATTTAATATGCAATCATGTGTTCATTCTTTTTTTTTTTTTCACCGACCGACCGACCCACCTTCACGAGAGGGAGGGCAATGGGAAACGAAACATTTTATGGG